CCAGTACATCGCCCGGCGCCGACGGGATTGGGGCATCGCGACGTCGCAGACCGACGCTATGATACCCACTATTTCCCCAGCTCCCTTCGCGGGGCTGGGGTCCCACTCACCTGGCCCCTCATCTAGGTGCCAGGTGGCCGCAAGGACGGCCGCCCGAAACCTGTCCGTGTCTAATCGACTGAGGGCCCACCTTTTGGGGAGGGAAAGGTCCCCCTCCCCTGGACAGCGGGCCAGCACTCGTGCGGGTTTGGGGAGGCGGAGGGCCCACGCTATATGTCTGTGGTCAGACAGCGATTCACCCTCCGCATCCACCTTCCATTCCTGGAACAACCCAGCCGCCGAGGGGGTAGCCCAGGTCAAGTCGATGACCAACTGCCCCCCCGGCCGTACACAGGTCCTGGTTGAGCCTCTGTTCATTAATAGTAGGCCCAGCCCCACTGCCCAACCGATCACGGCCTCGCCCCGAGGATCCCTCTGCCGGGGACTGCAACCCCACCCTTCCGAGTGAGCGTTAAAGTCCCCGGCAATCACGACAGGTCGGGGATGGCACCTTCGCACCAATTCCCCGATCCTCTCGAGGACCCTTTTAACCGGGGCGAGTTCGCCGAGACCGGCCTTGTTCCTGTGGTGGGGGAGATATACCCCCACCACAGTGATGGGCCCCCAATCGACCGCCACATACGAGGACCACTTTTCCCTGAATACACAGGGAGGGTCCCCGCTGCAGGGTTCGCCACCATGGCCACCGAGCCGTCCGGGCTGCCGAACCAGTTTACACTGTACACCGGCACCCAGTACGGCACGGCGACCACCTTCAGCCCGGAGCCCAGCTCAGCCGTCCTCTGCATGCAGATGTCCTGAGCCTGGGCGCCGTGACCGAGGTTGGCCTGTAGGGCCCGGAGTAACGTGAAGGCTAAACCTTACACGCCTCCTCCGGGCTGCCTACGTCCACCTCCTCCTGAGAGACCTCCAACGGCTGGGCCGTCTCGGTCTCCCCGGAAGGGGTTTCGGTCATGATGGCCTCTAACGCGGGTACCTCTGCGGATAAACAGGGGATCCCTACCTGCGTGACTTCCTCCTCTCGGGAGTATGAGGGGGAGTCAACCTGCAGGGGAGTTGGAGGTAGCGCTCCCACCAACTCCCCTTCCTCTATACTTGGGAGTGTGCCCGAGGGCTCCACCCTCCTAACCTTTGCGGCTTGGGTGTCCTCCTCCGGCTCTGCCTCGTCCCGGTTCCCCATCTCTGGGTCCATCTCATCCTCGCCTCTCCTCTTCCTCCGAAGCAGTGGTTGCTCCTTCATCTCCTCTTCCGGGATTCGGGTGAGGGCCCTCTCCGGCTCCCATTCCCAGTCAATGAGATCGGGGGAAGAGTCCCTCTCCTGCCCCTTTTCCTCTGGGGCTTTCTCCAGAGGGGGAGTCGGGTCCGTCCCTGCTCCCTCTTTCTCAGAGTCCCTCGGTGGGGAGGAGACTGGTCCGGTCTCCCCCTGGGCATTGTCGGGTCCGGTCATTCCCCGGCTGTGGTGGTTCAGGCCTCCACCCCGCCGCAGTCCTCCTTCCTCGTCTGCCTCTCTCCATCCCCTTCCTTCCTCTTTCCTCCCTTCTTTCTCCTTCCGGGAGGGAGTTTGCAGGCATGTCTTCCGATCTTGTGATCAGAGGGCCTGCCCGCCTTGGCGCACATAGGACAGCGCACCACCTCTTGGCACCCCTTGGCGTGGTGGCCGGGGTTACCGCAGCGGTAGCACATACCGCTAGCGGTATGTGCTACCGCTGCGGTCGACAGCGCTAGTGCACCGCTCGCGTACGTGTCCCCGCTCTATGCAGTGGAAACACAGCGTTGCGCGAGTGGGCAGCGCCGTTACCCCGGCGCGGGTCCAACCCACTGGAACCCGCTCCGCGGCGGCGACCTTAGAGATCGCCGCCAACGGATACCGCACCACTATGGCGCCGACTCCCCGCTGGGAGACGCTCATCTCGCCCGAGGAAACTTCTTCGGGCAAGCATTCCCCAGCGAGGGTCACAGCGGCCGCCACCTCTTCGGCCCCGGTCGTCGCATTTAGCCCGGCTATTCGCAGCGCTGCGAACTTCGCCGACCTCTGGATGCCGGGTCCTTTCTCCGCCGCCAGCTTGCGGAGCTCCTCCGCAAGCCGGTCGGCGAGTGCCCCGGCGTTGAGGCCAGGCACCTCTGTCAACATTGCCCCGACCAGGGCCCGGCGGACCCTCAGGGAAAAGCTTATCCAGAGGTCCGCCAATCTGATTCGGCGCCTGGCCTCGACCATGAATTCATGGTATTTTTCGTCGGGGTATATTATAGTGACGGCCACCGAGCGCGGCGGCTTCGGCTTGCCTTGCCCCGCCGTCAATGTCCCCCACCCGGATTTCAGAGGAGTAGGAGGGTTCCCTTTCTTTCTGTCCTCTTCTACTCTCCTTTGTCTCTCCTTTCTCCAAACCACCTGGGACCATGTCACTTCTCCTCTCGTGGTTCTCTCAGAGTTGGACCCCGGGCTGCTTCCAGAAGGTCCTTCGCCGGCGTCCCTTTCCCCCCTTCCTGAGCCTTTCTCCCTTCCTCCTCCTTCATCTGTCTGGCCTTTTCCTTCCTTCTTTTCTTCTGTTCCCTCCTTCTCTCCTTCTTTCCTTTGCCCTTTTCCTTAGCCGGCTTGGACTCCGCCAGTGTTCGTGGGGCCTGGTCCTTCCCTTTGGGAACATCCTGTCCTTCCTACGATACGACGGTATCCCCTCGGGCGACTCCCCTCCCTCTATTCCTTTCCTCTTAATGGGAGAAGGGAGGGAGGAAGGATGGGTTTCCTTCCTCCTCTTCTTCTTCCTCCTCTTCACAATCTCCCTCCTGGTCCTCGCCTCCTCCTCCTCCGTGGACGCGGATATGGACCCACCCGCTGCCTCCGCGTACGAGAGCCTCCTTCCCACGGGGAGTGGAGAGGGAGGGGGGCAAGGGCGGAGGAAGCGGGGGCCTTCATGGCCTTCAGTTCCTCGCCCAGCCTCCTGTTCTCCACCCTCAACTTTTTGAGCTCCTTTCGGAGCTCCTCCACCTCCCTCTTCGTCTCCGACGCCTCTTCCCCCCTGCTGTCCAGCTCCGCGGTCCTGGCCAGCAGAGTGGCCATAACGGCCTCGGAGGTGGCCACGGCACGGCTCAGCAATCCCACGAAGGTCCCCTTCAAGGTGCGGTACCTCCGTGAGACCAGCCGAACCACGCCTAGTGCGTTGACGGCCCTCCAGAGGCTAGCCCTCTGGAGTCCGCCTGCACTACCTCCCCGGGGGGAGGGGAGGAGGCGCCCGCTTGGCGGATTCCTACCACCTCCATAACCCCCATCACTACATTCAAGAAATCACCCACCGCGGTGGGTGGTTGGTCCTTGGATGGGCTGCTACGCCCGTCCTTTCGGGACCTTGAGCCCGAAGACTCTGAGCCCGAAGATTCAGAGTTGTTTTTAAAATTGGAATCCATCATCTTGGTCCCACGAGTACGGCAGGAAGTGGGCGTCGACCCCGGGTAGTGCCCCCGCATTACCCGGGGTAAGGCTAGCGTGTCCCCGTGGTGCGCCAGGTGCCACGGGTGAGGAATCACTAGCGACAGGTCACGCACCTGCCATTCATCCCATAAGCGTGGCATGCCTCAACCTAGGATTACGTGGTTTTTATAGAGGACCCGCCTCGCAATCCGGCCAGTTAAGGCATGACCCTGGCCCCAGAGACATGACCTAGGGTTACGGTGTAATAGGCTCGGGTCTGTCGGGGTTCGCCTGGATCCCCCGTACCAGTGTGTCAAAACACACTGGCCCCTGACAAAGTGCAGGGTTGTATGTGGCCCGCATCTACGGGTTTGAATTCGGGGTTTTCCTTCCTCTAGACCGGCTGCCATCACCAGGATAACGATCCCGCTCTGTCCGCGCTGTGGGAACCTTTGGGCCGCACTAGTGCAACCCTCCAGTTCCTGGATAAAACCTGGAGGCAGCTGCCCATCCAGGAGTATTATGGACGCTCTTAGTCTGGTCCCTCCGTACAGGCCACCCCGGCAAGGTAGAACCTGCCAGGGATCGAAACCCCCACCGGTACAGCCCTGTGCGTCATCAGGACACACAAGCTCCCCCATCACGACAAGGTGGCGTTCACGGGGGAGTGCATGTCGTATATATCGTTTTTCACGTATGCCAATGCGAAAGTTGTATCTTTTAATATCATTATTTTCCCCATCTGAGTAGGAATCCGAAGTGTCTTTTTTTGTTGGTCACGCACGGGAAATCCTCATGGATACCCCTGACTCTTGGGGGGGTCGGGGGTTTATGTCGGACTCCTACCGACTAAAACCCCTGCGGGATGTCTACCTGTCGGACCGTGAGGAGGGGAGTCAGGGGAACTGCTCTCGCATTCCCTCTCCAACCCCCCAGCCCCAGAGCTCCCTTTCGGGAGCCCCTTGCCACCTGTGTACCAAGCCCTGTTCCACACAGGGGATTCAGTGCGTGGTCCCCGACGGGTTGCCCCGCCGGTTGGCCTTCTGGTGTCTCCGTTGAAGGAGAGAGGAGACATCCACCCTTCCTCCTTACCCCCTCCCTGCTAGTCAGGGAGGGGAGGATTTTTGGGGGAGTGGACCCAGCCCCAACTGGGTGTTCCACTCCCCCCTGTCCCTACCTGTCCGACACGGGGGGAGAAACAGGGGATCCACCTCGGACGAGTCCTTCAATGGCTCGCCCTATTCGGATTTCCCGGATCCCCCCCGCGGACGGAGTCGGGCCCGAGGCGGCCGAAGAAGAGGGTTCGGCCCCCTGTTATACAGGGTTCCTTCCTCCCCCCCGGTGCCACCTCGGGTCCGCTGCCAATGCCTCCCGGGGAACGCCGACCTCCCCGCCTCCTCCTGAGGCGGTTCTCCGGTCGACGCTCCCATTCGGCGGCCTCCTTCTTGGACATAACGTCCCTACAGAAGGAGACCGCCGCCTCCCACACCTGCTCACTCCCGCACATAGCCTGGACCAAGTGCGGGAGCGAGATGTCCTACTCCCGGCACACAACCGCCCTGGCAAGGACACGACACTCCTCCCTCCAGGCTGGGCAAGCAGCCAGAGTGTGGTGCGCCGTGTCCATAAGCACGGGACAGTGGTGGCATAGGGTGGTGAGCTTCTTACCGATCCGGTGCAGGTACTTGCCAAAACACCCATAGCCCGTCAGTACCTGCACCAGATGGAAGGTCATTCCACATCCCCTCCTGCCCGCCATTTCGGGCAGATAAGGGCGGATAGCCTCGGTCGTCTCGCGCCCGTACCCCCGTGGATCGGACAAAATATCCCCCCACGTCTTCAGGGTACGGGCCACGGCCTGGGACTTCAGGCCTCTCAGGGCCCTGGTCGTCAGTTCCCCCTCTTCGCGGAGCTCCTTAGTCCTCCAATAGAGGACTCGCCTCTTCTCGGCGAGGAGCTCCACGGGAGGAGAACCAGCCAGAGTGGTCGCCGCCATGTACGATATAGTGCGGTACCCTCGTATCGCCCGAATGTACATTGGCCTCAGCGCCTGCCTGAGACAGCGGATGCCGTCCCGGCAGGCGAGAAGCTGGGGCGCCCCGTACATGGCGATCGAGAGCACTGCACTCACGTACGGGCCGCGTGCCCTCCATCCTGGACCTCCCTGGTTGCGCAGGAGGCTGGCCACCGCCAGCCCAGCCCTATGCTCCCTGGAGGCCAGTTGCCTGAAATGAGGCCCGAAATTCTACCGGCTGTACAACGTCAGGCCGAGATACTTGATCGTCGGCCCGACGCGGATGTGGACGCCATCGACCAAGACCCGCGTCTCCGGTGGCGCCCCTCAACTGCTGTCGTGAGAAAACACGGCCTCAGTCTTTTGGGGTGCAACCTTGAGACCCAGGTCCCCGATGGTGCTCACCATCGATGCCACCGCCGCTTCCGCGTAGAGGCCGGCTTCCCCCCAGCTCCTTCCCCCGGTCACGACTAACATGTCGTCCGCGTAACAGACGACGTGGCAGCCTGGGGGAAGGAGAGTGCGCAACACCCGGTCGGACGCGATGTTCCATAGCAGGGGGCAAAGGACCGACCTCTGCGGAACATCGCGCTCCATTGCGCGCCGGCCTTGGACCCCGCCTTCCTTGGGGAAGGCGAGGTTCCTGTCCCCGAAGTACGCCGAAGGGATCAACCGGAAGTAGACGGGCACCCCGTGGTGTTCGAAGGCCCGTCCAATTTCCGGCCAGGGCAGGGTGTTGAAGGCGTTTTTTATGTCCAGGGACATCGCCAACAACACCCCGCCTCCTTTACACGTCCGTCCCGGTCATGTCCCGAAGGTGTTGGATTGCGTCCAACGTGGACCTGAAGCCGTATTGACGGTCGTGGAGGTGTGGCCCCTCCAAGGACAGATGCTGGACGAGGCGGTCGGTAACGTTGCGCTCCAGCATCTTGCCCTCCTCGTCCAGCAGGCATATCGACCTGTAGGCCAACGCACTCGCAGGTGTCTTGCCCTCCTTGGGGAGGAGGACCAGTTTGGCCCTCTTCCACTGGGGGGAACATCCCCTCCTTGAGGCACCCGCTGAATGTGGCCCGCGTGTAGCCACGGACAGGCTTCCCTCGCCGAGGGCGAGCGCCCAGGAGCGGCCAGGAATTCCATCGGGGCCTGGGGCTTTCCCCTTACCACCGAGTTTCTTCCTGGCCCTAACGAGCTCCTCCGGACTCACAGCCAGGTCCTCGTCCCAGTCTCCCTCCCTCATTTCTGGGATGGGGGTCCTGGGGGGCCCCCTTCCACCCTCGGAAAGAGGGTGTCCAGGAGCCCCTCGACAGCCTGGCTGTCTAGCGTTTCCGTAGGTAGGGGCGCCCAAGGGCGGATCTTCCCCATCGCCCTCTTATTCGGGCGCCCCCACGGATCCTCGTCCAAGGAGCTCGTCAGTTGCTCCCAGGCCACTCGCTTGGCCGCGGCGATGGCGTCACGGAGGGCTTTCCTGCTGAGCAGGTAGTCCTCCTTCGCCCTCGTGACATCCCCGCCTCGTCGCCGTGTCCGGTAGAAATAGCGCCTGGCCTGGTCAGAGGAATCGCAGAGTTCCGCGATCTCCGCCGTCCACCAGTATGCGACCCGGCGCCGGAGGGGGTGGGCTTGGGGCATCGCTGCGTCGCACGCCGACGCCACAATGCCCACGATTTCCTCAGCCCCTTTCAGGAGGCTGAGGGCCCACTCACCCGGCTTCTCGTTGAGGTGCCAGGTGGCCACGAGGACGGACGCCCGAAACCTATCCGCGTCCAGTCGACTGAGTGCCCACTTTCTAGGGAGGGGAAAGTCCCCCTCCCCGGGGCAGCGAGGGACCCGCACCCGTGGAGGTTTGGGGAGGCGGAGGGCCCACACCATGTACCGACGGTCGGATAGTGTTTTGCCCTCCACCTTCCACTCCTGGAATAACCAGGCGGCCGAGGGGGTAGCCCAGGTCACATTGAAGACCGACTCCCCCCGGCCACACACATGTGCTGACCGACCCCTTGTTCATTAGCAAGAGGCCCAACCCCGCTGTCCAGTCGATCACGGCCTCGCCCCGAGGGTCCCGCTGCCGGAGACTGCAGCTCCACCCTTCCGAGTGGGCGTTAAAGTCCCTGGCGATGACGACGGATCGGGGATGGTACCCACGCACCACATCCCCGATCCCGTCGAGGACCCTCTTTATACGGGTGATGTTCCCGAGACGGACTTTGTTTCTACGGTGGTGGAAATACACCACCGTAACGGGCCCACAGTCGACCGCCACGAACGAGGACCCCTTTTCCCTTAATTCACAGGGAGGGGTCTCCGCCGCGGGGTTCGCCACCACGGCCACCGAGTCGTCCCGGCTGCCGAACCAGCTCGTGCTGTTCGCCGGCACCCGGTACGGCTCGGCGGCCACCCCCAGCCCGGCGCCCAGCTCTAGGATCCTGTGTGACCACAGGTCTGAGCCAGGGCACCGTGGCCGAGGTTGGCCTGTGGGACCCGGAGCAGGGTGAAGGTTAAGCCTTTGCCCCCTTCGGGCTACCTACAACCACCCCCTCTTGAGAGACCTCTGGCGGCGGAGCCACTTCGGTCTCCCCCGAGGGGGTTTCGGCCATGGTGGCCCTTGACATGGGTACCTCCATTGAGGCGGAGTTACGGGGGGTCCCTACCTCAACGTCCCCCTCCCTCGGGAGTATGGGGGGTTCGTTATTCTGGGTAGTTGGGGGTGGTACTCCCACCGACTCCTCTTTTTCTATAACTGTTGGGGGTGTCTCTATTGGATCCACCCTCCTCACCTTCCTGAGTTCCGGCTCCTCTTCGGACTGGTCCATCGTAGTTCTCAGCTCCGGATCCTCCGTCCCCCTCCTCTTCCTTAGAGGTAGGGTCGTCACCTCCATCGGCTCATCCTCTGGCGGGGCGGGGGACGAGCTCCACCCATGCTCCTCCCCCACTCTTGTGAGAGGAGGACTGTTGATGCGACCTCCTCATCCACCTGGCTCCGTCACCAGGTCCCTCATTGGGGAGGTGCTCACGTCGGCACCTGCCACCTGCAGCTCTCGGTCTAATGGGGCCACCACGGGGGTTCGGGCCTCCCCCGCTTCGACTCCTCCCTTCCCAGTCTGCTTCTCTCCCTCTTCTTTTCTCTTCCCCTTCCTTTTCCTCCTGGGAGGGGACTTGCAGGCAGGCCCCTCGATCTTGTGACCGGCGGGTCTGCCTTCCTCGGCGCAAACGGGGCAGCGTACCGCTGCCTGGCACCCCTTGGCGCGGTGGACGGGGTTACCGCAGCGGTAATAGAGACCGCTGCGGTCGACGGCACTAATGCACCGCTCGCGCACTTGCCCCCGCTCCAAACAGCGGTAGCACAAAGTTGCGCGAGCGGGCAGCGCCGTCACCCCGGCGCGGGTCCACCCCACCGGGACCTGCTCCGCAGCGGCGACTTTCGCAGCCGCCGCTAGCAGACACCGCACCACCACCGCGCCGATGCCCCTCTGGGAAACGCTCATACCTCCCGTGGAAATTTCCTCGAGAGTGTATCCTCCAGAGAGGGCCACGGCGGCCGCCACCTCTTCGGCCCCGGTTGTCGCATCCAGCCCGGAGATTCGTAAAGCTACGAATTTCTCCGGCCTTCGGACGGAAAACCGGGGCCTTTCTCCGCCGCCAGCTTGCGGAGCTCCTCCGCAAACCGGTCGGCGGACGGCCCCGTCCTGAGGCCAGGCACCACGACAAACATATCCCCGTTGAGGGATTGGCGGACTCTTAGGAGGACGTTAATGCCCAAGTCCTCCGGCTTGACGCGGCGCCTGGCCTCCATCATAAAGTTATGGTATTCACCGCTGGGGCACGTGATTGTGACAGCCGCCGATCGCGGCAGCTTCGGCTTGTCCTGTCCGGCGTTCTGTGCCCCCCTCTCAGGTCCTTCTTTGGGAGGGTTGGGGATTCCCCTTTACTCTTCTCCTCCCCCTGTGTCCTCTGCTTCCCCCGCCGGGTAACCTGCGCCCATGTCTCCTATGGCTGTTGTTGTCCTCCTGCGGGTCTAAGCGCCTGCCAGAGGCCTTTTTCCAAGGGATCCCGGCCCCAGTCCTTCAGGACCATCGCAGGGATCCCTATCTTCGGCTCCTTCTCCTTTCCAGTTTGTGGACCAGAAGCCAAGTCCGCCCCTACACCTGTCTGGGTTCGCTCCTGCTCCTCCTTCTTTCTTCTCTTTCTCTCCATCTCCTTCTTCTGCTTCCTCTTGGCCTTGCCCTCCTTTCCTTCTCCTTCCAAGGCGCCTGCCGCTTTCGCTGGTGGTGGCGGAGCCGGTGTCCTCGCGGGAGTGGACTTCCTCTTCTCTTCTTGAACCGGAGTTGGTGCTGTTGCCCGTGCCCCCTCGGGCACCCGGCTGCCCCTTCTCTCAACATCCCGGCGGACCACCAGCGCCCTCAGGCGGTCGAGCTCCGCCAGGATGTCATGAGAAAGGCCCGCGGTGGCCAAGGTGACGTCCAGGGCCCCTTCCACCTCCTCTGGTCTTTGCACTGGGGCGGGGGTCTCCTCCGGGAGATTGTCGTCGAATGACGGCACCTTCTCGGACGAGACCCCCCTCCCCACCTTTCCTTCTTCCTCCTTAGGAGAGGAGAACGAAGGATAAGTCTTCGTCTTCCTTTTCTTCTTCCTCTTCCTTTCCAGGGTTTTTGTATCCCGTAGTTCCTCCTCCGTGGACGAGGACTCACTCGACGCCTCCGCGTACGTCCTCCTCCTCCTGGAACACGGTAAAGAGGGGAACTCGAGGAGATAGGGGACGAAGGCAGCAGAGGCTTTCATGGCTTTCAACTCCTCAGCTAGCCGCGCCGTCTCGACCCTCACCCTCCTGTTGTCCTCCCTGAGGTCTTCCATTTCCCTCCTCATATTGGAGGTTGCATCCCCTCTCCCGTCCTGTTCGGCTGTCCTGGCTATTAATGTAGCCATAACGGCCTCGGAGGTGGCCACGGTGCGATTCAACAATGACACAAACGTTCCTTTTAATGTTCTGGAACGCCGTGCCACTAATTAATTAAATAATAACCGCGCCGAGTGCGCGGCCCACCTCCGAGGCCAGCTCGGAAGCCCTTGCCCTCCTGAGGAGTTCCCTGGTAGAGGGGTCCCGATAGACCTCCTCGGCCGGGCGAGTATCCTCCATAGAGCGGAACAAGCCCCTGCCGAGGAGGTCCCAGGCCTCCCTCTCCAGTCTCTCCAGGTCCAACTCCCTTTGTCTCCTTCCTTTCTTTGATACCTACACCCTTAAACGTTGTGGCAGGTCTGCCACGCTTTTTGGGTGCAGGTACCTCCGTTACCGATGATCCGCTGGTATCGACCCTTGTCCTCTTCCTCACGCCGCTGGTACTGGCCGTTGTTCTTTGCGCTGCGCCAGGATCCGTCCTTCTCGACGCTGATGACTGACCGGCCTCACCGAGGCCGCCAGACGCCTTCGGCGCTGCAGACTGGGCAGTCCTCAGCGTCGATGCTCTGGTAACCTTAACGACCGCCTTGGTTGTCCCCACAGACGAAGCTTCAGTTGACCCACTCGTTTCGCTGGCCGCTTTGGACGTCCCGGCCCGCTTGGTTCCCAACGTCGGGGCCTTGGCAATCCTGCTTAGAGCAAGGATCGGGATCCTGGGGCCTTGGGAGAGAATCACGTCGGATCGGATAACTGGGCCCCCGGTCCTCCGACCCGACACTTCAACCTCTCCCTTGGTCCCTCGCTTCCCACTCCCTGGTTCTTTCTGCCCTTCCCTCCCCTGTTCTTTTGGTAGGGTCACCCTCCGTGTTGCCCGGGT